TAATAAGATCATATAGGTTTCAAGTACACATTTCTATGATACATGACCTGTACATTGAATTATGTGCCCACCACCCAGGGTCAAATATAATCTTATTAACCAATATATAGTCTTATATAATCTTATTAACCAATGTCACTTCAATAAATTTAATTTAAAAAATAAAATTTAAAAATGTTACACAAACTCAGGGCTTCATGTACTGAATCTTATTTCCTATTTAGCCATTTAAATCATTAAGCAAATGAGCCACATAAGCTCCCCAAGTGAAATGTGGTTTTGGAAGAGATTAGAGGTCTACGTAGGAGCTGAATTTAAACGCTAACAGCATTCAATTAACAGAAAGTGACAGATAAGAATGTTTATCATTTTGCCTGGTCTGTACCATTTATAGATACTTCCATTGCTCTGAGTGGTTTTCATAATAGTGAATAAATGGAAACCTACATAAAATCTATCTTTAAATGCCAAAAAGATGAGTAATCTAAAGACAAAGTTGTTTAAAGTCATTTTTGCAACAGTATGTGGGCAAATTTTTCATGGTCTCATGAGGCAGCTTAAAAACAGGATTTAGATCTTTATATCTTAATTAGATATTTGTGGCAGAATTAAAAGAAGAGTTTAGATTCAAAAGTTACTTTTATTGTGACAGTCATAAAATACTGGGAAATAAAATGCTTTAATCTAAAGTTATAACCATGTTGTTATTTTTTACATTCCCATAACTATTGCTAATTCTACTGTCAAAATAGTTGAGCCCTGGCCAAGAGCATCATCCTGTACACGAAAAGGTTGAGGGTTTGATTCCTGGTCAGAGCACATACCTATGCTACAGATTTGATTCCCAGTCAGGGTGCATATGGGAAGCAGCCGATCAATATTTCTCTGTCAACTCGATGTCTCTCTCTCTCTCTCTCTCTCTCCCTTCCTCTCTCTAAAAATCAATAAAAACATATCCTTGGGTGAGGGTTAAAAAGTAGTTGAAACTAATTCTTTTTGTTTCCTCGTTGACTTAGCAAACTATTAGGCTCTTGATAAAGAAAGTTAAATAGGTCATATGAGTGAGAGAAAAATCAGGGGCCCTGGAGTCTAACTGAACTGGGTTCAAATCCTGCCTTAGCCACTTTGATCTAGAGCAAACCATCTAACTTCTGATTATCTCAACATCTTTTGAAATGGCAGTAACTGTATCATAGCATGTTAGGAAGATGGTAAGATAGTGAAAATACTGAGCTCAATTCCTAAAACAAAGTGGGTGCCCATCAGTTATTTACCTGTGTTATTCCTAAACAAACGACAAGGAGGTCAGCTTTTCCACCTAGAATGTCCCAGGATGAGCAGGTAAGAGCTTTCTGGGCAACTGATGGCCTGTGTGTCTCAGGGAGGGGGTCCGAGAGTGGAGAACATAGGCAGAGAAGCCTTAATGAGAGACAAAGATTGAAATCCAACTCACAAAGCAAGATATCTGATAACTCTTTAGAAAACATGAGACTGTCCTTCACAGGTTTTGAATAAACTCAGCCATGTAAATACTTACATTTCTAAAAGCAAACAACTGCTGGTAAGAGTGTGAACTATAGTCAAAAGGCAAGCTAGACAACTCTCCTTCCTGTCAGCACATGAAATACCCTAAACACTGGCACAAGAATTAATCTCCACGAGGCAGCCAGACAAAAACAATTACATAGCCTAACTAATCAACCACTGCAATTCTTTCCATATAGGTAATCAATGTAAATCTCTGTGATAGTTTTCTATGGATGTCATAACAAGTTACCACAAACTCTGTGGCTTAAAACGCTACTGTATTATTTGTACAGTTCTGCTGGTTAGAAGTCCAACAAGCTTCTCACTCAACAGGGCTGTCTTCCTTTCTGGAGGCCCTAGGAGAGAATTCATTTCTTTGTCTTTTCTACCTTCTAGAGTCTGCCCACATTCCTTGGCTTATAGCCCTTTCCTCTATCTTTGAAGCCAGCCACAATGGCAACACTGTACATCACTCTGATTTCCTCTTCTGCCTCCCTCTTCTCTTTTTCAGGACCTTTGTTATTACCACACTGGGCCCACCCAGATAACCCAGGATAACCTCCCTGATTAGAAAACCTTAATTCCACTTACAACCCTCCTCTTCAACAAGTAGCCTAACATAGTCACACCTTGGTAACTCTGAGGTTCTGGGGGAGGGGAGAGGGGTGCATTATTCCTCTTACGTAATCTCCAAGGGAGATCACCTCTGAATTACATTAACATTAATCTCTGGGTATAAATAATATACTGCAACTCACACATACCTTATCTATTTTCTTCCAGTGAATCAAAAACAGAGGAGTTGTGAGGGTTTTTTGACAACTTTAGAACCTGCAAAGCAAAAGTGCTCCATGTTATTTAGCAAGAGCAGAAAGAGACAATGCTATGACAGTAAGAGCTATGTGGCCTGTTTACACTAGACGGTGAAAATTGATTATCACTGATGTCAGGCTTTTTTTTTTTTTTTTTTGGTTCCAGGGAAAATAAGCTATCGAAATATAATACCCATGTCAACAAGCCATATGAAGCTGTCTTCACACACCCCTGGAACCTATCATACCATTCATCCTTTTGCATCTAGAAGTTGCTATATCTCCAAAGGGAAAAATATCTGTTGTATTAGCAATAAGTACCTCGGAGTGATGACTTAGAAAGTGAAGCTTTGAATAATGTGGGTGGGATCTGAAAGCACAGACATCATGGGATGAGTTTTTCTCTTAATCGGTTCATCTAAACAGAATATCACACTTAAATACCACTACAGCCCGGCCAGGCGTGGCTCAGTGCTTGAGCATTGACCTAGGATCCAGGAGATCATGGTTTGATTCCCGGTCAGGGCACATGCCTGAGTTGTGGGCTTGACCCCTAGTCGGAGGCAGGCAGGAGGCAGCCGATCAATGACTCTCTCATCATTGATGTTTCTCTCTCTCTCTCTCCCTCTCCCTTCCTCTCTCTGAAATCAATAAAAGATATAGATATAGATATAGATATACCACTACATATAAAAATACTTGGTTGTTTAACCTATCAGAAAAATTTTAATTATATAAGATGTCACGCCCCCAAGAACATTTTAGAAAAATTTGTTAAAGTTCTATATAAATGTATTGTTTAGATTAGGGGATGGAGCCCAGAAAGGTAATAGAAACAATTAGGTGTGGCTAGGAAGGCATCCTAGAACCCCTCTGCCCCATCTGAAGAGGCCAGCTACCATCCACCATCCACCATCCACCAGCCACCAACCACCAGCCACCAGCCACCAGCCACCACTGAGTTACAGGAGCTGATTATTGTCACATAAGGTCCTCTAATATTTTCATAAGTAAGAAAGTAAATTTTTATGTGGAATCATTTAAATTTTCCATGTTGGCAACTAAATAATATACTACAACCTAATGATAGAGCAATAAAACACAGTAACGGACCAAATTTAGCTTACCAGCCAGTAATTTGCACCTTTGGATCTAGATCAGCCAATTCTTGATAACTGCCTGATATTTTACTTGATGAAATCAATAGACTAGTATAACTTACTGCCCTAGCTGTCTAACTGGATGCAAACATTACAAAAAACTAGAAGAAAAAAATGTGTGTACACAGATGAGATCAAGAGTCCTAGCAACTGAGGGTTTCATTGTTTCTTGAGGGAAAAGATTATGTCTTATTTTTTGTTGTGGCCCCAGCATATAGCATAGTGTCTGTCACATAATAGGCTCAAAGTAAATGTTTGTTGAGTTAAGGAATGACTAAACTTTAAGGAAAACCTTGGTAGCTCTGAGGGCTTTATTTGTACTTGTTCATGTAAAGAGGCAGTGGTCTAGCCTTAGAATAACAATTATGTTGCAATTACCAATGAGACCTTTTATAATATAATGGGGCAAAAGGAATTTAACTGAAAACAATAATAGAACAATCCAAACCAAGTGTAAGTGCGCAATTTTTATATTACAAAGTCCTTTCAATATGTGATTTCTCTTTTCATCAGATCCTCTCTTTAAGGCAGACAACTATTATTTCATTTTAAAGAACTTGAACTACAAAGGAAGTTAACTGATTTTACAAGGGCTTGCACAAAATTAGCAATAGAACTGCACTTAATCTCTGGTTCAGCCCAGGATAGCTCTCTCCTAACAGGGAGGCACCGTGGGGATGTGACAATATAGAAGTGAATCAGATTAATTAAATACGCACAATGGTACCTTCACAAACAGGAAGGGAAGGGAAAGGCCTATACTGTGGCACAGGGGGAAGGAAAGGAGGAGCATGGAAAGGGAGTGTAATAGCTGTCAAGAGGGTGTGTAGACATCAAAGTGCCTTACTCATCATGACACTAAGTGCATGTTGATTAAATCATTCAGCAAAGTGAGATAGATCATCGGGACCCGTGTCGTTTCACGTGGAAATGCACTGCTCTGTGATATTTTCATTTCCCATGTGTATCTGTCTCCCCTACTAGAGTTAAAACTTCATGAGAGTCAGAGACTAAAACATATTACAATAAGAGCTCCTGAAGCACTCTCTACCCAGAAGGAAGTCATTCATACTTTTTATTGGTCAATGGGTGACATTATATTGGTGACAGTATAGCATTAATGGTTCAGAGCTTGGACTTGAAGTCAGTGGATCTATGCCTGAAACCACGCTCTGTCAATGACGGGCTGTGTGACTCTGGGCAAGCTACTCCATCTCTGTGAGTCACAATAGCATTTGTAAAAATGTGACAATGATAAGACTTATTCCATAACTTTGTAGGGAGGATTAAACAAATTAATGCTTATAAACACCTAGCAGGATGCTGGGTAACTGACATGCACCCAATAAATATTTTACTACTGCAACACACTGAAATTTCAAGTTCAGAAAAGTACTGGAGCTATATGCTGGTTTCTATGGACGTGGAGAAGGGACATTTGCTTGGTTCCCAAAAGCAAACTGAGGTGCTGTAAGAAAACATTAAAACGTGACCCAAAATGTATTTTTAAAACAAACTTTTAATTTATCCCACATGCCATTTGGAATATAGTAATAGAAGAAAGAAGAAAAGGCATAGATGCAGTGTGATTTACAATCAGTATAAATGATTGCAAACAAAAGTAGTTTTCAGACACAAGCTCACTGACAGAAAACCCCGTGGCAGGTCAAGGTTTACAAAGGAGTGAAGGCCTGAGATGTGGCTGGTCACAGATGGGGACATTCAAAAGGAGGACTATGTGCAATACTCTTTTTTAAGAAATTTCCCTTGTTCCCAGAAAGAGGCATGTTTAACTGTCCCCGATGCATTATCTTACCAAAGTCCAGCTAACTTACTTTCCGGCGTGTCCTTGCTCTTAGATCTTTAACCTTTCAACATACATGTTCAGACCCTGCTGGCTCCCACACACAGACAGAATGAAAGCGGTGAGAGCAGCACATTCAAGCGAGAGAAGGAGAGAGAGCTCATTTCCTAAAAGGAAACGACACATACTAGACGGCCTCTGTCATTCTCAGGGTGGGATTTTCAAGAGAAAACAAAAGCCAAGCCATTAAAACGTTTTCCACCCAAAAGCAGCGGAGAAACAACAATCGCAGAACAAGTATCACACATCAGTTTAGACGAGAACCTGACACCAAAATAAGGTAACCAACTAGGCCACGCACACGTCTCCTTTTGTGTCTTTAGTGCTCAGAGGAGCCAACTCATGGGGCCCGAAAGCTTCTGCAAAGTCGCCCGTCAACCCTGGATTTCAGCTCTGGGGCTCCAGCAGAGGGGTCACAGCCCAGCTCCTGCACCATCTGCTCCTGGACAGCCAGGTGGCCCAGATGGTGACTCAGAGAACATGCTCGGTCTCTCCTTTGCTCCCCTCGGGGTCTGGGGTGCCTGCCCCTGGCCTGGAAGCCAGCTCCAGCGAAGCTTCCTCTCCCCGCCTCCCGCTGCCTTCCTTGGTCTCCTCAAGGATCAGATGTGGCTGGCAGTCCTGCTCCGAGCTGCT